ATAACTTCTCCATCGAGGGAAGTGTTTTTTTTTTTCATTTAAATATCTAGGTACGATGAATCTAAGGAGCCGAAAGAAGAGGAGGATGAAAAGATGAAGACAAAGAGTATCCCACACAAAGTCAGCTTGAATCAATCCTAGGATTAGAATATGGGTTTGTGGTTAGTGGTGCCCGACCACTTTTAATTTATTTTATTTTTAAGTTGTAATAAACAGGTAGTTTGCCTATAGATATTTGCTTAATTAATTTGATTATTTAATGCATTAAATTTGAATTGATTGCGATTAAGATTTCCTGCTCTTTCTAGTTTTTTTACGATTTGCATGTCATTTTTATTTTAGCATGGATTCGATCGAAGGCTCGTGAGTGCACGTATAAAACCTTTTCTACTTAAAATTAAAATAAAATTTTTAGGCCAACATAAAAACTCTAACGATTTAAGAAATAAATTTGGGAATATCAGGAGTTGGTATAAATATGTTTTACCTTCTCCTTCTTGTTAGGCACCTCCTCGCATGTAGGTTTTGACAAACCACCTAGCCTTTGAAGGTGTAGATCTATCAAGGGGATGTTATGCAATCTCTAGAGAAATATAATTTTTAAGCCTTTTTTAAAAACTGCTTCATAGATATTCTATGTATTTAATTGAGTCGATCATAATGCATTGCATTAGAAATTAATTAAAAGTGTCTAAATTTTAATTGCATTTGAGTTAAGCATTTTCACCCCACATAAGTCAAGGGACCAATTAAGATTTACTCTAGACGTTGGTCCCAATTCACAGAAATTTTAATAACAACGTCCCTAGCACTCTTTCATAAAGACCAGACTTATGGATTTTAATTTGACTAGGTGGTTAGCTGGCTCCCCAATCCATGTTAGGGTAAGTCCAATTTTTATACTGCATTAGTTAAGTTTGGGATACCATCATTCGATACCCAAAATAAAATTAGGATCCGGGGTAGATTTTAAATTATAAGACATCAACCTCCAAAAATCCCTATTTTCTAATAACTTAATAAACTCAAATTAAAATTTCTCTCAATCCAAAATTTAAAGCCCTGCACTTATATTAGGTTGGGACACTTCTAAATTATTTTAGAATCTCTAAGTGTCTCCTACCCCTCTTTCTTTTACTCTAGAAATAAGTGCTCCAACTTGATCCAATTCCAATTAAGATTACAAATTCAACTTCTTTGATTCCAATCCTTAAAATCTCTAAACAAAATTTTTGTCATATTTTAATCAAGAGTATTCGTAGAGAATTTAATATCTTTGTAATGTAATTAACTACGAGGGCTTGGGCTAGTAGGAGGTTTAGGACCCACATCAATTTTTCAAAAATCAGTTTTTAAAACTTAATTATTTTTTTTGGAAAAATCAAAACCAACGACGATCATTATTGTCATGTTTGAACTATCATTAATAAATGACATTTTCTTCCTTCAGGAAGATATGTCATTTGTTGATAAAACTTTGAAAATGAAATTAATGATAATTCATCCTGATTATCATAGCTAGATATTCGACCGAACTACACTTTGGCCCTTTGTATCCATATGCAATTCTTTCCGAAATTTGGCTATGACATTCAAGATGAGATTTACAATTCTAAATCTAGACTCTATTTTGAAATCTTATTTCTACCTCTTAAGATAATATATCTTTTCTGGGTACATTTGATTTTAGAATTAAAATTTAAAATCAATTTTAGATTCCCAAAAGAAGATTAGACTTTTCAAAAACCCCTTTCAACACCAAATAAAATTGACAATTTTGCCAGTGGTTTTTCCACCGAAAAATTTGGCACTAAGTTACCGGTTGAATCGCCGCTTCTATCGGCAAACGAAATTCAGTCTGTAAATAGAGATTTTTTTGTAGTGAAAGCCCCTCAATATAAATACCTTTCAATTAACCCTAAAATATAATTTTTGGGAGGATATTCTTTTATTACTTGAGATTTGGGAGAAAAAAGCCCTTGTTAAAAAGAGAGACCCTTGTATTATATTGTGCTCCTATGGGTTTTTACTCCTAATCATATCCTTGATCCTATGATTTGAGAGACCAATGTTTTAATTTAAGAGATTTTTTATGTTTATTATAAGGGATCTACTGATTCCTTGAAAGTTCTACCTGTGATTTGGAGACTAGCCGATGGGCTATAGTAGTCATGATCTCCATGAATTAGAAGAGGTGTAAGGATTTCTCCATTATCCATGAAAGAGAGAGACTTCTTCACCTTACATGAAGACAAAGGAGAGAGTTAAGTGGAATTTGCAAGAAGAGGACTTAGGGAGTGGATGTGAGCTAATAGGTTGAACCACTATAAATCTACTTTGCATCTCTATTTTTTATACTTTATTTTGTTGTGCTACACATAATATTGGTGCTGATGATTTGATACGCTCTAATATTCTATTGTGATGTGATGAGTGTGAAAAATGAATTTAGTACTTGTTGATCATAGCTTTGATGTAATATATATATTAAAGTTTAGGTTTGAATCTCACCTTTATGTTAAATTTAAAAAATATTTATTATGTTGCTTTTTTTTTTTCATTTCATATTTGTTAGCTCATCATTATTTAAAAAAAATCCAAAATTTTAAGGTACACTCCAATTCATCTGCTCTCCTCTTGAATATACCACTCACTTGAATATTGCTTCTCCTAAACTTATCCATAATTTTATTTTGTAATCATACTTTGTGGCTTCCACATATTATATTATTGATAGGATTAATATGCATAATCTCTATAATTAGATTAAATTTTATCTTCCTGAAATATTTAGATTGATTATTTAAAGCTTAACTTTAAGCTATAAAGGTTAAAGTGCCTTGCGAGCTAGGTCATAATCTCATGGGTTAGCTAATACTTATTTAACATTTAGAAGAACTTAAGAAATTACTAAATAATATAATGTAGATGTTTATTATCATCAAATAATTAATGAGCCATACATGAGTTACATGATTATTAGTCTATTAAAAAAAAAGGAAAAGATATAAAGGTTCATAATAACCATTAAAAAAAAAAAACTTCTAACGAATCCCGCACATGTAGTAGACATGAGGATTTGAAGATGGCTATCTTCTCAAACACTTTATTCATTGATATGTAATTACCTAGCTTCAGTATGACCCCCACCAACCCAACCCTCTTCCTCAACACTTAGGTAATGAAATAATAACTTTAAGTTATTTGGGCATTTAAGTTTATATAGAGAAGGTAGGCAAGGCATTAGAGGATCTACCATTGATCCACTCTTCACACTTCCATGTACAAGTATTGTTAAAGCATTTTGGCGGATAATACACATGGCTAACTCATAATTTTTGGCAATTTCACGCTTAGTAAATGGGGGGACATTGAAGACTTTTACTATAATTACCAAAAGCAAAAATGCATAAAAGTATCTGAATTAAGTCAACAAAGCAGTTCAAATATGGTGCACCTTAAAAATATGTGCTTTATTAATCAGGTCCTCCAAGTAATTTTAAGTTCATTATGTTGAGTTTGATACTTACATTAACCCCTAGGTATATTCAATTCTACGTATATAAGGAATTTAAAGCGCACAATTAGAGGTTTATGGTTTATAACTCGATCACATAGTATTCGACCTTACTCACTACTCCGATAGACTAATTTTTTGTCCTTATTATGAACTTAACCAACTAACTTTTGACTATCTCCAAAAGTTGTTGGCATAGCAATAAATTGTGTTGGTATTCCTAGGGTCATTTAGACTAAGATTTTAATTGATTATTCTATTGAACTAGTTGGATTGATAAGAAAAAATCTAAATGGAAATTCTAAGTTGTTAGATAGAGGGGCTCCATCAACTCATCCAAATCTTGAAGGATATAATAGTTTAGCATATATTTAAAGATGATATGGTTTGGCTTACCCAACTTTGATCAACCCAAAAACCAAAATGCTATCAATCATGAGGTATTTTTGTTCGACACACTTCTTAAAGGTGATGTGGCTCTGTATCATTCAGTTGACCTAACAAAACTGTCTTCCACTAAGAATCAATTTAGTACAACAATGATCTTAAAGTTGTTGCTTGGTTCTCATCTATTTGATTGAGTAGATAATAAAAAACCTCTCAATTAAAATTTTATATTAACTTTTTATGGAAAAAAACATTTGACCATAACTCCATAGTCTAGAGCAAAAAAAACATCAAAGGAAAGCAATAGTTTGCATCTATAATTTCTTTATTCTTAAAAAATTGAGTGAATTTAATTATAATTTTCAAAATTTAATAATTGAATTGGTACCTTCATGAAAGATTTCATATTTGCTATACAAATTGAAAGTGTGCATACAAATAATGTACTGAGAAGTTGATTACGATATTTATTAAAGGATAAATTATTATAAATAATATGTAAAATGAGTTACGTGTAAAATATCATAGTATGAAATAATGTACTCCATTTTTTTAGATAAATGATAATTATGGAATCATATACTTAGTGTACAATCAATGCATAATTAGACACTTGAAAGTTCCACACATAAAAATAAGTAGCTAATATTTTTTTTGTACCTAATATTGGAACAATTATTACGTCCTCCGACCGGATGTAGAGGAACGTCTGGTCAGAGGCCAAATCGCGCCAAAAAATGAGAAATACCGAGCAAATACCAAGCAATACCAAACAATAACGAAGAATACCATCACGTGAAGACCCAATATCGAGTTATACCGAGCAATACCGTATAGCTCGGTATAGCTCGGTATTGATCTTCACGGAACGATATTCCTCGTTATTATCATATAATACCTAGCAATAACGAACAAATACCAAATTTTTTCGCAGGATTTTACCTCCGACCGGACCTTCCTCTACGTCTTTTTACCGGACCTAATAAAAATTCCTAATATTGCAAGGAGCCAGGAAGTTTCTCAATTTTGTTCCACCATAACAACATCGGATCCCGCAGAAAAATCCAAGGACCTGAAGAAAGAAGGGGAGACCCTAAGCTTTGGATTCGCTTTTTGCAAACTGCACCCGGTCCCACACCCAAGCTTTCACCACACACGCACGGCAGCCATGCGGGCACCTTTTCTTCGTTTGAATTCGAGAGGAGGGCTCCCCCTCTACCACCATCCAGTGCGTTTGAACTGCGGCCGAGCGCTTCTCTTCTCCCACTCCGACGAACCTGCTATATAATAGAGATGACCTCCTCGAAGTTCTTCCCTTATTTTGCCGACTCATTTCTCTGCCTCTTAAGTGCATTTCTGTAGTTCGAGGGAAGCTTGTTTTTTGTCCCCCTCGTTCGCTATTGTTCTTTCAGTCCATGGCGACGGCGTCAGCGTCATCGTCGGAGGCCATCGGGGCAGCCAAGGCGGAAGCTTCCGGGGGAGAATGGCCGACGATTGATGAGCCGCAGCCGGGTGTTGTGTTGAAGAAGGCCAGAAAGGAGAGGGTTTGTACCGCCAAGGAGAGGATCAGCAGGATGCCGCCCTGCGCCGCCGGCAAGAGGAGCTCCATATACCGGGGTGTCACCAGGCATATCTCTTTCTCATCAGTTGTGGTTTTAATTTCTCTTGGGAGAGCGATTTACCCTATGTATATACTGAGCTGAAATGGATTGATACAAACTAAATCGGAAAACTCCAGAAATTCTGAAAAAAATTAACGCATTACATGATAACTAGGCAACTTGAAGTTTGTCTGAAACTCCAAAAATCTTTGAGAGAGAAGAGACTAGAAATTAAAGGATGCTCACAACTTTAGATATTGGAGGAGAGATGGAACATAAAAGCTTAGTTCATTCATTGTATAGCTCTAATTTTTACTAAGGTGGGTAAACATAACATTACAAGACCCATAAAACCTACTAAACACCTATTAACGATTTACTACCTTACATTAATGTATGGCCTTCTTGTTATATGTATTACTTAACACTACCTCTCCCTTCATTATGATCTTGCCCCCTCAAGGTTGAGAAAATCACCATTGGATTTAGCAATGCTATATATGGTGATGATGAATCTGGCGATTGTAGAATTAGCTTGTAAGCAATTAGATTCGGCGGTAAAGTTGTGGAGGTGATGAGATTTGTCGGTATAAGGCAAGGAATTAGTAATTATGAGCTCAACAGAGACTAAGGATGCATATCTTACCAAATCTAGTGTATTGTGGCCATATTTGATCAGAGATGAGGACGTCGATGGCTATGACAACAAAGTCCCTTATGGTGTGGGTGGATCTAAGAGTCAAGGCATTGGCAGAGGGTATGAAGGAGGTGTGTGGATCGATGATCTAAGATGGATGGAGATGGGAGAAGCAAATTTGGTGTGGGCAATGGGGATATGAGGAATGGATGTGGAGATCAGAGGTGGCACTTGATGAGAGGTTCAATGAGAACACTATTTGATACAAAATAAATTAGAAAATCATGAAAAAATAGAGAAAATTAATGAAATACATGGCAACTAGGTTATTTCAAGTCTGCCCAAAACTCCAAAAATCATTAAGGAAAAAGAGATGCAATTAGTGGATATCCACAACGTCTGGTATTGGGGGAGAGAGGGCGCATCCAAAGCATAGCTCATTCATTGCATTAACCTAATTCTCCATAAGGAGGGGTATATATTGCATTATGTAAGACCTTTCAACATGTTTTAACTATTTAATGCCTGATTGTAACTTATGACACACTCATTACATTTAACAAAGATACATGGAAAACAAAAAATAAAAAATGAAAATCAATAGAAATACATGGATAAGTAGACAACTTTGAACTTGCATAAAATTCCAAAAATCATTAAGGATGCTCATAACTCTAGATATTAGAGGAGAGAGGAAGCGGTTAAAGCTTACTTCATTCATTTTGCATAAACTTAATTCTCCCTAAGGATGAGTATACACATCATTCCAATAGCCTTACAACTTATTAACTATCTAATATGTAATATTAACCTATAAGGCTATAACATACTTCTTACATTTATTACCTAAATTGGATTGTCGGCCCTTGAGGATTAAATCTTGATTTAGGGCGTGGTTTTGATTTTTAAAGAATGATATTTTGTTTCTAATTTTTATGCTAAGAATCCATCATTTCGTTACTGCACACTGTAATGCAAATTGCTTGGAATATGGAATAATTTTCGACTATTGGATGAGAGAGGAACGACTAAAGCTTACTTTATTCACTTTGCATAAACCTATTTCTCCCTAAGCAGAGGTATACACATCATTCCAATAGCTTTAAAACCTATTTACTATCTAATACGTAATATTAACTTAAAACATACTAAAAAAACCTTATAACATACTTATTATGTAAATTGGATTGTCGGCCCAATTGAGGATTAGATCTTGATTTAGGATATGGTTTTGATTTTTAGGAAATGGTATATTGTTTCTAAGTTTTATGTTAAATATCCATCATTTTTTTACTGCACACTATAATGCTAATTGCTTGGAATTTAGAATAATTTTTTACTACTGATCTCTTTTTGATTTAAAAAGCTTTTGAAAACTTTCATTAGTTCTTATAAATATTGAAATGAGAACTATTTAGAGGACAAGAGTTAGAGGCATAATTGGATGGAGCACAAAATCTAAAAACAAGCATATGAGAGTTAGGGAAGGCTTTTTTGCCTGGGTGTTTTGAGCTCATTTAGAGGGTATATATAACTAGAAGCTTGGTGCTTAATATTGAGTGAATTTCATGCAATCTTACTCAAATTAGTGCAAATGTCTGAAGAGATGAAACAAGTCTTAGGGATTGATAAGCAATAAACTAATGGTATGTGTTGATGAAGAAAAAATAGTAATGTTTTTTTATGCTACTAATCTTTAGCCTTTGGTAACTTCTATATATATGACAATCAACATTGACCATCATTCTTGTCTAGATGTGAAATGAATGACGGATTTGAGAGACCAAAATTTTCCATGATAAAAAAACCCTTAGATAACACCTTTGTCGAATAGGGATCCCTTGGCTGACTTCCATAATGCCTTTCTTTTTTTGTTAATCCTAAATAAAAATTGATTGGCCAAATAATATGGGAATCCTCATGTTGATCAGAAAATTAGTGACACAAAAGGCTAGTGTAGGTAAGCCAAAAGGGCTTGAAAGCTGAGAGGGGTACACCTGAAAGGATTGCTATATTACCAAGTGGGACCTTGAGAAGATTGATGTGTTGTCGAGAGAAAATTACTAGAGCAAAACAATTGGCGTGGCTAAGAGGAACTCAAAAAAGATCCAGAGAAGATGACCGAAAGTTGAGTAGTTTTGTTGCCTAGCAGTTACAAGTGCCATCCTCATATTTTGTAATCTTGATTACCTGTAGCCAGTTTAGCACCGTAGTCGATGCCATACATTATAATTATTGTTTTCTGCTTTTCAGTAGTCAGTACCAATATTCCCTATCTATTGTAGATAGATTTAGGAGGAGAGAGAAAATTGGAGAGTTCAGATGAAATGGTGTAGGGAGGTTTTAGTGGTGAGGAGATTACCTTGGGTGGAGGTTGGCGGCTTGGAGTCATGAGAGAGGGGAGAGCCAAAGGAAGAGAGGGAGCTGTGTGTGACTTGCATGAGTTTGATCGTGAGGGAGAGAGTGGGCCGGTTGGGGAGAGTGTGAGGGGTTTAAGTGTCATGTGAAGGGTAGTTTTAGAATTATTTAGGATTTTTTATTTTTTATTTTAAATCTCTCTATTATTATTTATAATCATATGAAATCAAATTTTTTTTTATTGTGCTTCAACTCAGTCATTGTCACGTCATCATCATTTGCGCATGTTGTTGCCTCGTTTTACTCACGCGCAAAATTTAATTTTTTGTCGATCGGTGACCTCAATCAATATGTGCACCGATCTTAGTTGTTTCCGTTCTCCGGACGCACTGACATTGTTCTGTTATGTGAATGGAGGCCATTTTAGCGATTTGAGTTTTTGGTCGGTGCGCATTGGGTAAGTTTCACGTCGAAACTCGCCTTGCGTGGTCGACTTGACCCCTACAATAGTATTGAGGTCAACAGTCGGTTATCTATGTTGAGACGATGTTGGATAAAGATGAGATGGCGCGAGGGCATGATTGTGGGTGTACAAATTGCTTGTGTCAAACTTTCATTTTGGAATGGTTTAAAACATGAATGTTTTGAGAGCATCGGATGCTGATGTTACGATGGCATCAGGTGTTGTTGTTAAACATTAGCCGCAATCCTCCAGAGAGAAATTAAGTGAATGTTTGAGGAATGGGTTATTGAGTGCAAGCAATTGATTTGGGGCTGTTGAGAGAAAATAAGAAATTTAGTTTTTATTTATTAATAAATTTGAAATATAAGAATTTATATTAAAAAAAGTCATAAAATATTTAAGACATGTGCGCCCAATTTATTTTTGATATTTTGTTAATCGGACATGTCTTCGGCGTGTCCAATACGTGTCGGAGGCATGTCAAAAGCATGTCATGTCTGATACATATCAGACACTACATATCTTTGGGGAAAAGTATCGGTGCATTATAGGACAAATTATAATAGTGCTACAAGTGTTGTCATGATCGTTGCTGAATAGAAAATAAGTTTGAAGGTTATCTTGTGTGGCTTCATATCAATAAGGATAAATTGAATGAAGAAGTTCAGAAGAAACTACTAATTTAATATGCGCCCTTCAAACTGAAGAACATTGAAGACAACACAAAGTAATTGGCTTTGCTCACCTACATGGAGGACAAATGCTGGTTCAGATCTAGTTTCTGTGATGACGCGTTTTGGAAGCTGAAAAGGGTAATCTCATCTAGCAATTTTGCACCATCAGGCCATGCTTTTGTTAAATGATTAGTTGTTTATTGCTACACTTGCATATTATCTGCCCTGGGCAGCATAAACTGGCATATAATTTCATGTTGAATCACTATGACTTGGTGATGTTGCTGAATTTATCCTGGCTTTCATTCTTCCTTTTCAACAGCAAGCTAATTGAATCTACTATCTATTTTGAAGAACAGGCATAGATGGACGGGAAGATATGAGGCTCACCTTTGGGATAAAAGTACTTGGAATCAAAATCAAAATAAAAAAGGAAAACAAGGTATATTTCTTATTTTACAGTTTCAACGATAAAAAATTTTGTAGTCCACTTTTAAGTGAACAACTTTGTTTCGATTTTCTATTTGGTATAAGTGTTTTGTATGGACAAAGAAAGGATTGAATTGGTCCCCTAGCTTAATTTCAAGGACTAAAATAATCCATGTTATATAAAAGTTTCAATTTGATTCATTGGCTCTTTAAATAGAGATATAATTAGTCCTTCTGTGAGGTTTATGTTACTGTCTAAAATGTCAAGGGACTTGATTGATATTTTTAAATAATCAGGAATCATTTTAATTTTTTGTTAAAAATCAGGGGATTATTTTGGTCTTTATCTCTTTCTGGATATGTTTGATCGGCTTAGACTGAGTTTTGTTCATCCTTGACAGGTCATAGGTTCAGTTAAGAATGCACTTTTATCAATCTAAGCTGAAATTATGGGCTAGTCTTGGTTGTGTATTTGTTTTCGACGTTACTAACAATCTTTACAATTTTAATATTCTCTAACTTTTTTGGCATGGATGTTGGTCGGTCCATGGTCTGCCCGTTCAGTCTATTTAGGTAAGTTTTTTCACCTCACGTTATCCATTGAAGTGCTGTACGTTGATAGGAAGAAAATATTTATTTATTTATTTATTTTATTTAGGTGCATACGATGATGAGGAGGCTGCTGCTAGAGCTTATGATCTTGCTGCATTGAAATATTGGGGCGCTGGAACTCTTATTAATTTTCCTGTGAGAAATATCTGAAATTCTGCTATGATTATTGGCATTTACATCTCATTGAAGAACTTAATCTTGTAGAAAAAGGGGAAACCATGAATTCATTAGTGCAAACTGCAAACTTCTATTTACTTGCAGATTTTAGGGATTTGCATCTGTTCAGTTCGTACGCTTAGGGTAATCTTCGTGGAGATACGTAGTCATTTATGCCTTTTTTGTGCAGGTTAGTGATTATGCAAGGGATTTGGAGGAGATGCAGATGGTTTCAAAAGAAGATTACCTTGTATCTCTTAGAAGGCATGCATTTGTATTGGGAAGTTCTTTATCTCATTTTGCCTCTTTTTTTCCTTGAGAAATGACAAATTTTGGGTCTTACAGAAAAAGCAGTGCTTTCTCGAGAGGGTTCACTAAATTTCGTGGAATCCAAAGGTATATTTTCTTGGAAAGCTTCGCCTTTTAAATGTAAGGACTTAAAAGAGAACTTGATTTTCATTTTTATTGAACTGTTCTTCATACAACCTGGCCTCCACAAAAAGTGCAGCTTCTATAAATAAATCATTATATGAATATAAATGTATTATCCATAAGATATATGATTGCATCAGGAATTATTCACTGTGCTGTACTGTTTTTTCTTGAGTGCTCCTCTGCATGTGCATGGAACTTAATCATCAAACTGTTTTATAAATATCTGCTTTTGGTTGAAGGGGAAAAGTAGAAAATAGACATAAGATTAACAATTGAAGGGTAGCATCTTTCCGCTCTTGTAAACAACGAAATTGATGGCAGTTTTGCTTATTCTCTTACCATCTTCGTCCTTTTCTTTCAAAAACTGGCTAATAATGCATTTGATGTGAAATGAGCTTTATTCATGGTTATAATTTTTTTTTTCATTGGGTTTGTTGCTATAACATAAATACTTGGTCTTTCTTAAACGAAAATTTAGAAACTGACAGGGCAGGAAAATGTTGGCAAACTGATTATTTTATTCCCTTTCTTTTCCTAGCCTACTCTTACCTAGGTTATGTTTGGCCTTGAGTGTCATTTTTAGTTTTTCAAGTCTTTAGCTTAAAGATTATGAAGTTTACTCAGTAGTGGCCTATAATTGTAAATACCAGATAAAGGAATAATTACACAACCTTCTTGATATTTATTGAAGAGAGCATATCATACATCAGATGGACTAGCTGATTTGATTGTGAGGGAATTAAGAAGTTTCCTAATTAAGAGGGAGATATTTAGGAAGGTTTTTAATCAAAATGAATTAATTAGGAGATGTCTTTTCTTTCATAACACTTTCAATAAAAAAAGTGTTTGTGTGTTTTATTCTTGATTTTCTTGTCGTTTTTTATTTTTTTAAAATTGCTGAAATCAGATTTCAGCCAATACTTTTTCTAAATTTTTGCCAGCATTTCCTAACAACATCTTCATGATACATTGTTCGTGCTGTCAAATTTGGATGAGGAATGTTCATAAAAGGGATATTCAACTCCAGCATTATGATTGGAATGAATAAGGCTATATGGCCACTGAGAGATGTTTCTCTAATTAATTGAGTATTTGCATTATAGATAATATTGTTGGCTTGAACTTGTGAGCCGAAAGTCATAAAGGTTTGATAGTTTTGAAGGATAAACATTAATAGAGAGATGACCGGGTTTGATAGTTTTGAAGGACAAGGAATTTGTAAGGAAATGAGTGAAGAAGAAAATATCTAGATTAATGGTGGAAGAAGATCAGGCTACATAATTATTGGGGGAAGAGAAGCAATGTTAGAGAGAGCACGAAGAAAAAGGAAAATAATAGTAGAGAAACAAGAGAGAAAAAGAAGGGTCTTCTTTTGCTATAAAAAACCTTAAGGTTGATTAAAAAAATAATAAAGATAGAAACATCAAACATTATCCTTAAATAGATAACTCCCAAAAAATTAAGAGGAAATAAAATATTTCCCAAAAATCAATCAACTAATAAAGAAAAAATAATAATTAATCATGTTGCCAACATTGATATGTCATGATCATCTAAGCACACAAGACTGTTGCCGTCAATTCTCCTAAGGTATGACGAACTCTCCTCTCAGTACATACGTTAAAGATACTCGTCAAGTAGACTAGGAGAGAGATGCAACATCTAGGCTTGTGTGACCCATGAATTGTGTGATGATGGATGATATTGTGAATCTATGAAGGATGCTTGCTTCTTGCTCGAAGGATTCATTGTAATCTCTTCTAACACAATTTACCTGACATCTAGAATTGATGGAAAAACAAACATTTATTATTGGCAGCTGATGGGAGGCTTAAACTCCACTTGCAATGATACTTATGCAACTTAATTATTAAATAAATATCCTAATTTTTAACTCATCTTAAACATAGTTTTATATGTAATAAAAGGACATTATTTCTTTTTCTAGCTGGAACATGTTTTAGACAATTATTTGAATTTGATTGTATAAAAGGAGCATTGGTCTTGTATTATTGAATTATTAGCTGATGAATTTAAATTTTGAAAAATTTCAATAAAGATTCTCTCTTTTTTAGACTTTATATGCACTTCCTCATCTCTACCCGAACCCTTGCCTCTTTTCTTTGAAGCATTCTTTCATTTAATTCTTCATAAATCTTCGTCTAAATATCTCATTGGTTCTTTTATATCAGATTTTTCTTACTCTCAAAACTTTTGTCATTACCATTTTGGTTTCAACACCCAACATAATTAACAATTTGGTATCATAGCCCAACACTTTTCCATCCTCGTTGGTCCCTTCTCCACTGATGTTGAATGTAATCTGATTGTTGTCCGCACTTGCCCCTCTTTTTTCTAAATTGCTCATCCTCACCATTACCTCATCATTTTTTCAACCTGAAAACCCTCATAGCCCGTTCATCACATTATCCTTCTTAACGATAACTCCTGCACCTAATCAACATTTGCTTGCTCAACTTGCTTTTCCTCTTCGCCGCAACACTCAACAGGCACTAGCATTCAGGATATCATGCATGCTTTGAACTCACTCCACCCCTTCTTTGACCTATTCCAAGTCTTGATGGAAAATCATCCTTGCTGCATTATGTGTGTGCATTGTCTCTGCTCTTAATTGCTTATGTGTCGTGTCATCACCACTATTACGATTCTTGTATTCCCTCACTTTTTTAGTGGTTTTCAACTTTGCTCACCTCACCCACTTTTTTTTGCAATCATGGAACTTACGTGATTGCGGAATTTGTTCATGTTTTTCACCCATCACTTTTTGTTGCAAAAACTTGCAATATTTTTTTGCATCTTTTGTTGATGTATTTGACAATCTTTATAACTTTCTCTAATTATTAAAATTGCTCTGTTTATCAAGATTTTTGGAGGGGTGAGGGGACGGGTTTTATAATTGGGTGGATTAGGGATTGCAAAGGAGATTTTTAATTGCAAAAGTGATCTAAGGCATGTGCAAAACATAATAAACTATTTAAGAAAAAAATTCTTGGATGTTCTATTGCTACTACTTTTGGGGGCCAATTTCTTGATCATATGAAAGCTTTGAAGATTTTCTAGTTGATGATCTCATTATATAAATATTAAGACTTAATTCTTTTCATTTGATGACAAATTATAAAATAAAAATGATTATTAGTTTTTAACATTAAATAGAAATGGAAAATAAAATAAACTAATGCCAGTCGATTGCTTAGGCAAATGACTGGCTTTGATGTGGCATGGCGTAGCATGACGAGGGAGTCGAGCGTGGCATGCTACGTGGTGGTGGGCCCAGTGCCCGCTCGATTCTTTTTTTCATTTTTTTATTTTTTTAGTTTTTTTTTTTTAGATGATTAGTTAAACTTAAGTCTATAAAAGGAGTGTTAGTCTTGCATTAATAAGATAATGAGTTGATATTTTGACATATTTAGTTTTTTTTTTAATTTTTTTAGATGATTAGCTAAACTTAAGTCTATAAAAGGAGTGCTAGTCTTGCATTAATAAGATAAATGAATTGATATTTTGACATTTTTAGTGACGTTCTCTATAGGGATTATCTCATTTGTAAAATTCCTTCTTTTCGAGGTTCCTTTCGTCTAATTCTTCAAATCTCATCTATCTATCTCATCATTTCTCCTATATCGGATTAGCCTAATTCTAAACAACCCCCGTCATTACCCATTGTGTATTGGAACCAAACATAATCCCATTCTCGTTAGTCCCTACCATGCTGATCCCAAATGCAACATGATTGCAGCTCACACATGACTCCCTGCCCCACCTCTTTGCTACTGAAATTGCTCTTGCTCGTCATTAGCTCGTTATTGCTTTTACTTGAAAATCTTTACAATAGCTTCACTGCATCCTCCATCTCGCTAATAACTCCTACAGTTAATCAGCGCTTGCTTGCTTAGCCCACTTACACTTTGTGCTGCAATGTCTGCACCTTCCATCACTTGGGAAAAAATGTTGATCTATTGTTTTGAACTCACTCCACCCATGCTTCGACCAAGTGCAAGTTCCTCTAAAAATGCATCCTCACTACATCGTGTAAGCGCATTGCCAATGCTCGTAATTGCTTGCCAATCACGAACATAGCTGCAGCATTGTTGATGTTCTCATTTTCCTTCATGTTTTTAGCTGTTTTCAACTCTGCTGGTCCTCGTGAGCTTTAGTTGTTATCATGGAGCTTGCGTGATTGTGGAACTTGTAACCATTACATTATCCTTTTTTTTTTTTTAAAGGCTTACCATATATGCAACAACTTTTGTTCAGGTATTCGATTCCCTTTTACTTCTGTGAAAGATTTGAAGATTTTCTAGTGATTATCTTATTATAAGTGCATAGTTTGACTCTCTGATTTTGACGGCTTATTTCTTATTTTTTATTTTTTTCCCTAAATATAGTTACTGGTTTGATCCTAGTTAATTTTTCTTAAATTCAATATAATATGACTTTCAACGAATGTGTAGATGTCAAATCATTGCATGACTTTTTTGGTTTTGAATTTGTAATCAATTTTATAGTAAGCCATTGAAATTTCATCTAAATTAATTTTTCTTGAGTAATGAATATTTATTAAAGATTAGGGGTAGGGGTGATATCAAGCCATGTTTGTTGAGTGCTGAGCTTGAACTATAAATTATAAATAAATGCTTAATTTGAATTTGGAACTATTTCGAGTTAAATTGACTAAATTGACTTAACTCAAAATGATTTGGTTTTGTGTACACAGTGACACAGACTATATATATAAAGAAACATTTCAAAATAGACTCCAAACTATTTGTGTTTGGTTGATTTAATCTTAGAATATGGCATTGCCCCAATTTAGTCTCACGACTATATAAAATTGATCCAAAATAGTTTCTCATATTATAATTATGAAATAAAATTTATTCCAATTTAGTCCCTCAACTTTATAAAATTTATCTCAATTTAGTCCCAAAAGGACTATTTTGGATCAATTATATATATATATCTACGCATTTAAAGTTGACCCAAATTATATTTGAACTAATTATGGAGAACCCAAAGTTGATTTTGTGTTTGAATTGTTACTCGAAATCAATTGCATTATAAAAAAAATTGAAAATAGTCCTCAGATTATTCATGTGTGGCCAATTTAATCACAAAATATCATGTTACTCCAATTTACCCTTTTGAAAATACAAAATTGATCCAAGATGACCCCTCATTGTGATTATAATGTAAAATTGATCAAAATTTAGTCCAAAAGGATCATTTTAAATCAATTTTATATAGTCGAGAGACTAAATTTGATGTGAAACCAACATGTGTAGGAGCTCATTAAGACAATTAAGAAGGATTAAACATTTTAATTTCACTTGAAAGCTTATTGTCGAGACAAGATAATTCAATAAAGATTCTTGGTTTTCAACTCGCTTAGGCGAAGGAGTATATGTAAATTAACTAATCCTCGGAGATAAACAAAAATAGTAGCAAAGCTAAGAGCTATTAAACAACAATCCAAAACTTAATAATGAGAAAGCTCAATAAATTTTGAGCTGAAATTTAGCTCATTATGAGCCGGTTTTTAGTTCATTTATTAAACTAAAGGCTAACTCATTATTAGCTAGGTTTTAGTTCATTTATTTTCTTATTTATGTTGTTCTTTATTTATAGTTGTCTCTTAAAATTCTTAGTTTATCCCTTGGGTTTCCAAAATGGCTTTTGGATTCCCTGTGCTTATTGTTTTTCGTGCCTTAGCTCCTTGGATTCCACGGTTGGCTGTTTCCGTGCCTTGGCTCCTTGGTTTCCATGGTTGGCTGCTGGTTTTCCTGCTGGGTGGCCTTTCCCGTGCTTTGGTGCCTCAGTTCCTTGCGGGCCTCTTGGGTTTTCGCGGCTGCCTCTTCGGGTCCCTGGCTGGGCTGTTTCTCGTGAGGTTGGGGGGGGCTTTCCTGTAGTTTGTGATGCTTGGGTTCTTGTGGGAAATCATTGAAGTGGCTGTTTGTATTCCCCTCTCATGTCTATAAATATGAGATGTTTTGGAATGTTTTA